AATACTTTCTCACCCAAACTGCGCACTACGCAGGAAGTTCAAGATGTCCTTGTGAGTTGTGACTATATAAATTTATTTGCTTGCATTTAGTTATTGAGGGAGGAAATGCTACTAGACCAATTGTGGACTTTGGGATCAAAAAATTTGTTTCGGTTAATATTGGAACCAGGGATGTTTTTATGACTTTATCTATCATCTTTAGGAAAAACTTTAGTTTTGTCCAAGGCTTTCAGATCAATATATATTATATACATTCTTTTCGTTCAAGAATGTAAGGTATTTTTTGAGGTGTTGGATATTAAAAAATGTAAGATATTTTTTAGTTTTTTGAGGTGTAATTATTGTTTTTTTTTAAAGTGTCCATATTAATAATAATTTTATATTTATTGTAGGATATTTAATAGGAGTAAATATGAAAAGATAGGATTAGTTGAAAAGTAAATAATTATTTTTTAGGGGATGAGATTGATTAAAATGTTTTATATTTTTGAAAGGAGTATATTTATTTTAATTACAGGGAAAGCAAGAGCCTATATATTGAAAAGGGAAGTGAAGATACTTAGCTCACATCTATACGTCTGTATCTAAGATTATTATCTGTGATAGCTAAACGCTCTAGGGGTGGTTTTATGATGGGAGAATTTTGGAAAGAGTGCATAGGATGCCAGCCAGTTCGTGTAGATCAAGAAATTTGTTAATGATTTCATGTCCATACTTGGAAATGATATTTTCCTCAGTCAATATGTCACCCAACAAAAAAGTGAAGGTATTGGTTAGAGTAACTTAACAATTCCTCACTAATGATGGCCATAGGTAGGTGGAAGGGACTTGGTTCCATCAAATATCAAATAAGGTCGTGAAACCAAACCTTATAAATAAATTTTTTTTAATCACTCATATTTATTTTATTTATCATTTTAGTTCCTCAAATTTAATTTGAATTTATTTGGTCTTTTTAAGTTTGTTTTAATTATCAATTTGATTCTTATTATTTAAATATGAGGCAATACTGATAGTAAAATTCATTTACATAGATAATAGAATATAATGGAAGTCAAGCAGATTAATGAAAGGAAGTGTAATTATTTAACTAAAAAACAAACTAAAAAATTTAAAAAGATAAAAGAACAATGCTCAACATAAGGAATTAAATTAAGGATCAAAATAATAAAAGTTACACTGATTCGAAGGTTAATTTATTTTAATTGAACTATATATACATAGCAACGCATCAAAATGCTTCATATTAGATTAATTTAAAAGTGAATTTTTTTTAAATTTAAAGGATTAACATGATGGTTTTAGAAAATATAAAGCATTAAATTGATAAAAATTGAATTTAAAAGATTAAATCAATAATTACAAAAATTTGAGGAATTAAAAGTTTTACTATCCCTAACAAATCATAATTATTTTTAATTAACCTGACAATACCAATTTGACAGTAAAAGATATCAGATAAGTACAATCAGACATTGGATGTCACATGGAGATTGATTAATAAATAGAGGCACAGTCTATCATGGGGTTGTCATAGAAAAGCTTAATGGATCCCAACAAAAACAAAGTCATTAACAAATAAATAAACAAGAGAGAGTCACATCCTAAGACTTTTCAAAAAACTTATTGGCAAATAAAAACCAATAAAAAGTTTTCATTGGAAAAAAAATAAGTCGTTATTATTGTTTTAACTACATTTCTAAAGTATTTTTAACAGAAAGCTTTATCTTTAGAAGACCATAATTTAAATTTCTGTAACTCAAAAAAAAAAAAAGTACAAGACTCAATGTTGTGTGCACATTATTCCTGGGGTTTTTATCTGACACATTAAAGGAATGTTTTTGCTTAAAAATTGTGCATTCTTCCATTTTTATTTGTGTTAAATTCTTATATATAAATTAAAAGGATTAGTCCTTTGCAACATAGTGAACTAATGTTTGAACTCCTATGAAAAGAAATGTTTACATTTAATACCTGACTGTACATTGAATATAATTGCTTTTAATAGAATGATATTTATGAGCAATATAAAAAAATCATATATATGTATGTATGTATGCATGCAATTACTAATATTTTTAAGTTTTGGTTGCTTGCTTGCTGTCTTACCTCAACTATATTTGGCTAAGTATTAGGATGTTATGAGTAGAATTATTAGGGAAAGGATGGCTGAAGAAGTTTAAACAATACAAGAGCCAAGAGGACTCTCCGTCAGATCTCTATGGAAAAACGTTGGCAAAAGACAAATCATGTTGGTCCTCAACTTATTGGCTTAGTCTGTCTCCGACTAGTTCTTCATTGGCTTGTTCATGGGGAGTTTGCCTCATCTTTATCATCTGCCTCTCTTATTAAGAGACTGCATGCTCGATAGTCTTCTTCATCATCAGTAGATTAATTTTCTACTGCAATTTTTGCTTCTTTTTCCATTTGCTGCTGATCCTCATTACTGGTTTCTTTGATAACAGGCTTATGTTATTGTAGGACTCTTTTTATTTGTTGTAATATTAATCTTTTTATCACAAAAAATTGCGTCTATTCATCACTCAATAACTTGCGGCCAATATAGAGCAAATCAATTGCCATCCTATACATTTATAGTCATACATAATCTTCTAAAATTATTTTAGGAATGTACACTATTCTTACTATATGTCTTTTGTTAAATGTATTTAAGTCAATGTTTTAAAAGTCAGACTAAACATTAAATAAAAAAAGTCAACGGTTCTTGATTTTTATGATCTAATTGATTAGATCAGTGATTGGACTGGTGATATAATAATTAAATAAAATAAATATAAAAAAATCTATAGTATGTTAATAAAATGGCAAAACATGACCATAAAGTAATAATATAATAATTTATAATTTTATAACTTGTTAAATATAGGTGAATTTTGGTCAAATTAGATATAAACACACTTAAAAATATTTGTATTTATATATATAACTGTCAACATTTTTATAAAAAAAAAATCTCAAATCATATTTTTTACATGTAAATTGCTCAAAAATAAAGTTGGCTTTAAGTAGGATTTAATTTTTAAATTTTTCTATTTTTTTTAAACTTTTAAGCTTTTTTTTAATATTATGTTTAAAATTGTTTGGTTTTTGAAAACTACTCAATTCCTGATTTAACTTTGATTTTCAACTTAATAACAACTCAGTTTCAGTCCAATCTAGCTAAATCATAAAAGTGATTTTTTTTGTTTAAATCAAGCCGTTAACTATTTTGGTCAATGGTTCGACCGGTTCAACCTTCTAGTTCGGTCTAGTTTTTAAATAATTAATTTGAATGAATCAATCAATAATATCAATTGTTATTGCAATATGAAAAAGCATCAAATGGATCGAATCTTGTGCTGAATTGTTTATTTCAAAATTCATTCAGCCAAATAAGATATGAAAAAAATGGAGCTAGAAATATACCAAAGAAAAAAGTCACTAACTACCTTGATTTTCTTAACATTCAAAGCTTGTCTTTAATTGCATTGAAGAGGATACATTGTCTCCAAAGGTTGAATAAATGAGCCATTCATTTTTGCTTGAGCATTTTGGGATTTGTCATCAAAATTTTGCACATCAGTCAAATCTGTCACTGGCATTTCGGGGGACAACAATCTTGTTTTTTTTTTTTTTTTTTTAAGGTTACAAAGACAAGCTTGAGCTAGAAACAAGGAACACAAAAAAACTAGTTAAAACAACCCTTATCAGACATAAGCAAGTTTAAACACCCCAGGGAGACAACAATCTTTGAATGCGCTTTAGCTTCCTCTTCTTGTTCTTATCAGTTGATTGCATTACAAATATACCAATGGGTGTAAGATTTAACTGCAATGGAGCATGTCTATGAGAGCAAGACATGAAGACAATCTTTAATTGCAAGATTATGAAATTTTCAAATTTTCTTCCCATCATCAATTCACAAGAGGCATAAACTTGTTACAAGTTTTCTTCTTCCAAACAGCACGACAATAACCTTTAAGATTAAATGTCTCAATAGAAACAAAAGCCAAGGATAGAAGTTTATATTGGACTACAATAATTTATTCTTTTTTTAAAATTTAAAAGAAAAATAAATTCTATTACAAAGAGGAGAAAAAACAAGGTTTGAGGTAAAAGGATAAATAATCTTGAAATTGTTAAGCTATTAGCAAGAACTACAAATTTTGCAGTAAAACAGATAATTTGGTTACAAAGAATAGAAAACAGACAGACCTGAATTTCAAGGAATGGAAATAGGACAGGCCTGAAAGCGAAAGCGATAGACTACTCTTGGTGATGGAGAAGGCCCAGATGGAGGTCCTGAACCCAATTCCCATCGAATAAGAAGTACTGAGCATTTTATCTGTAAAGTTTTGTTTTTTTATCTTTGAAGTCAATCCTTCAGATGCAGGAAACGAGTCCCCTGCAGTGATCTGTACAATATCAGTCATTTTTCTTATTACCATTGAGATTAATTTTTATATACTACTGGTTTTTAGGTGCATGTTTCCAATCTATGCTAATAATGAATGACAGATTAAACGAGCTTGAAGAAAAATTAAGAGAAGTGGATCCATGAAGAACATTCACAGAGATATACTGTTTCATCATTCTCTTCATCAGAAATAATTCTGTAGGCTTCACAGAGAGAGATTACAATGTTGTCATTCATGGAATGGAAGTAGGATCAATAATGCGTGAACTCAATACTTTGTTCAAGATTTTTTAACTTGAGAAAAGTTTAGTTAACATGAAGCATGAAGTCAATTTCCAGAACAGTGATGAAATTGAAAACCATCCGTATCATTGGTAGTGGTTTTGTCGTATGCGGAGGAGAGCCAAGACGTGTCTCGTGCTTTCTTTTCTTTCTTGTTATGGCCCTCTTTCTCTCTCTCACTTAGCGGGTCCTCAAGACACAGACATAATTAATGTCTCTTAGACTCATTTTTTACTTTCTAATCATCACGCTGTTGAGGTCATTAATTCATGATGAGTATTTTGAGCCAGTACCCTCTCACTATTCATCACAGCTTCTTCTTTCTCTCAGCAAGCTCTGTGTACCATCTGGATAATTGCTTCGAGTTTGCTTTTCAGTCACAATAGTTTCTGATCTGTTGATCTTCTTCTACTTCTTGTTCTTTAACTTCAGAATCTTTCTTGGCTTCTTCAACTCTCTGTTAGATCTATCTTGCTTGTGTCTGGATCCTTCCTTGTCTATGGGCAATCGTTGCTGCTGCTGTTGTTCTTCATCTTTAATGAGTTTGTGTATTTTATTTGAATGACCACTTTGATTTTTCTCATCTCCAGTCACTGTATGGTTCGTTGTTTTCTTCTTATATATTCGTGTTCTTAAACCATCATTCCTGTTTGTATGATCTCTCGAGTCCCACTAATCATTGTTGTTGTTGTTTTGAAGGAAAAAAAAAAAAAAAACAGACAAACTCTGTTCTCTTCATGCAGATCATTTTTGATTTCTCTCTAGGGGGACCTGTTCATCAATTGTTGATATTCTATGTCTTCATTTAGCGTTGAAAATTAAAACAAAAAAAACAAAAAAAGGGAAAAAACCGAGAAGGAGAAGGAGAAGGGAGGCATTCCCAATAAAAGCAAAACGTGTGGGAAAGGTGTTGAAACTTGAAATCACAGCATAAGAGATTAAGTATGTATATTCTGATGCTTTACATTATTATTCTTCAGAACATGTCTCATCACTGTCTGTGCACCTCGTAGTTGAACAGTTGATAATAAGACAGAGCTTGAATAACAAGGCCATTTCAGCTAAAGTATTGTTACTTCCCAAATCCTTCACACTTCTCCTTGCCTTCGACAAAACTTTTCAGGTAAGGAATCCCTTCTTTTAGTTTTCTTATTTTGTATTCGGATTTTTATCAAAATTGATTGTGAAAAAAATTGATTAATATAAGGTGATGATGTTTAAGTAATATGTTTTAGCAATTTCAGGACACCACTTATCTTCGCTCACCTTTTCCTCTATTTCCCCTCCTCTCTACCTTGAAATGAAATAACGGTCCAAAGTTAAGGTTTTCAATTCATATTCATCAAAATTAAAATTAAAATTAAAATTTTTACTAAATCTATTTTACCACTGATATGGATAGTTTACATTTAATTTGAAGGATATAATTTAATATTAAAAATTTTTATAATTTTTTATAAATTAATTATCTAGATATTCTTTGGCCAATCCAAATTTCATATTTATTTTTTTAATTTTTTTACTTTAGTAAATACAATATTAAAATAAAGATAAATTCTTGACTAGCACTTTTCAAAAAAATATTCTCATAAAAAAATTACAAGTTAGAATCAACATGTAAAGTTAAGAAGGTTGTTTCCATCATTTTACAATATTGTTACCTGTTTGGTCTTTTAATGGAATTCTCCCTGCAAATTAAAGCTGCTTGTGTTAAACAGTTTTTATACTTTTTCCCCGCTTTATTCTTGGACTTGGATTCTTCCCTTAATTATTCTCAATATCATGGCTATTATGTAATTATTATTGTTGCGGTCCTTCTTTAGGGAAGAAAACAAAAATTGAGGAAGCTCCTTGACCGGTGTTAAAATCTTTGGAAAAGAAAAGATTAGTATTTGAAATGGGGAAAATCTCAATCAAGAATGTTGAAAAAAATTTATATCAGTCAAGGATCACTTTTGTTAAAATCCAAATAAATACTTGTTGATTCAGATTAGTTTTTTTTTTCATCAATAAGTATCCATTTGAATTTTAATAACAACTCATTTTAAATTAATAATAATTTATGTAGGCTTGTTTTTATTTGGGTTTTAATAACAATTAATTTTTAATTGATATAAATTTTCTTTAATGATCCTTACTGTTACTTTTCCTATCTGAAATTTTGCAGCATGAGTGCGTGAGAATACACACATAAGTGCACACATAAACACCCACATTGCAAATACATTTGAATAATCAATTTATGAAGTTCCTGTCCTTAGAATTTTTTGGAATGTTAACTGAAAATTGCAATAAATAATTAAAACACACCGCAAATAGGGTTACAAAATTTTTAAGTACAACTACGAAGCCTTCTTTTACCATTCACCACCATCAAACAACTAGGCGGGCATTAATTGATTGAGCTAACATGTGTGCACATACATTTGTTGGCTTTCCTATGCACAAAATGAAATGAGATCTGCTAATCCCTTATTAGAAATGGATAGGCAATTTCAATGGCATTATTAAAGGGACGGTTATCATCATCACAAACTCTAATGATCATACCAATTGCTTTTGCAGTTGTTACTTTTGTAGAAATCGGCATGAAACCTCTCCAACACTCAAAATTTAGTAGTTGAAAAGAGTTTTTACATATTTTAAAAATTCAAGGTCCAAGATGCCATATTCGCACAATCGTTAAAGGTTTAGAAGGCTCATTAATCCTAATATTTATTCTAAGTAGAGAATAAATTTCATTTTGATTTCCTGAAAAATGACATTAATATCTGAAATTTTTTGCAACTAATGTTCCAACTCTTAAAATAAAATATAGAAAAAAAAGACTCAAGTAATACATATATAGGTGGAATAATTTCACATTGAGTTCCAAAAATTTGCAACTAATATATGAAAAATTTCAATGTTATAACTTTTGCTATAGAATATGGGAAAGACTTTAGCTTGTTGCATAGTTTTGACATTTACCTTTTGTAATTTACTATTGATGATTATATAATAAGTTGCAACTGATCTCCTAAAATTTAATATAAAATATATTACGTGGGTCTTAAAGTTTAAAAATGAAGATTAAAATACATTTTAAGATATTTTATAAATAAATACAAATTAAATATAACAATATGAACATTTTTTTAATATTTTTTAAGAAAATATCTATAAAAATTTATTCAAATTAATTGTCTATCATTATAAAATGAACTAAGACTTTAAAAATTAATTACTCCCTCCATTAAAAAATATAAGGTATTTTTAGAGGAGTTGGATGTTAAAAAATGTAAGGCATTTTCAGTCTTTCAAAGTATAATCATTGCTTTTTTTTTTAAAGTGCCCCTATTGATAATGACTTTATATTTATTGTAAGGTGTTTAATAAGGATAAATATGAAAAAATAAGATTAGTTTAAAAATAGATAACTATTTTATTGGGGGATGAAATTCAGTTAAAAATATCTTATATTTTTTAATGAAGGGAGTAATATTTAATATATTTTTTAAAAGTCATTTTTTTTGGGTATTCAAGTCAAGCTTGAACTTGATTGGGCATGGTTGTGGACCTTATTTCGGTTGACTTGAATGGGTTTGAGCATTTTAAAAAAATAATATTTTGCTAAGCCAGCTAGTTCTAAATTTGTTTAGGCATAACTTATTCACTTTAGCCCAAATTGTCAGTTAGAAGTGATTTATATATAAAACTAGAATAAGTACACAATATGAAATAAGAGAAGAATAATAGATGACAAAAAATTTAACGTGGGAAAAATCATCAATATGAGGGATGAAATACCTATACATTATGAGAGTGAGAAATTCCTCAATTATAAAATACATTTTATGATAATTGTTTCATTTGAACAAGAATGACTAGATATATGTATATAGAGAAAGAGAGAGAGCTTCTGAAAAAACTAAAAATAATAACTTGGATAATAAATAATATCTCATAAGATAATAATTAAAAATAATTGGAACGGACTATAAAAATTGAAGTTATAATCTCAACATTATTTGGTTGAATTACAAAATGTGAATTGTCAGTGTCTATATATAATCCCACTCGCATGAGGTAAAAATCTTACATTAGATTAGTTGGGTCTTGGTCTAGTTATTTTTATAATGGTAGTCTCTCACGTATGCTAGATGGGGGATATCAGCGCCAATGTTGCGGCAACATGTACGGAAATATTGGTCAACTTAGGAATGAAGCAAATTCCATATTTGTGTTGTTACAATAGTTATGTTGAAGACTTTGCAAAGGGAAAACAAGATTGTCAGCTGAAAAGTAGAGTGTCCTCTAAGAAATAGATGAAGCCAATACAATTAGAAATGAGACTAAAACTGACCCGATAGTCCAACAATGGCTTGAAGAAGTTGATGGCATTATTTATACAGACACCAAACGAAAGAAATGGTTTGGTTTGTGTATCGATTGCTTTTCCAATTTTCAAAAGCCAAGCAATTGGAGAGTGTGACAACGAAAGATATTCCAACACTAATTGAAAAGCGTAACAACTTTCCTTGGGTTGCACATTTGGCTAGAGCTCCATGCATAGCATATCATTCACAAGAGTTTATGGAATTTGATAGCAGAGGGTTGAAATTTGAACAATTTAAGGAAGAATTTAAAGATAAAAATAATCATATCATTGGATTGCAAGGGATAGGAGGAACGGGGAAAACCACAATGGCAATTGAAGTTGGGAAACAAGTTGAATCAAATCCATTTGATCAAGTCATCTTCATTAGTGTGTCCACTCTTATGGATGAAAAAAGGATTCGAGATTACATTGCAAAGCAATTGGGATTGCAGTTAAAGGAAGAGAAGCAATTAGAACACGCACAACAAATTTGGACTAGTATTACAAGTGCTGGAAAGGTACTTATAATATTTGATGATGTCTCGCAAAAAGTCAGCCTTAAGAATATAGGAATTGGTCATGTAAGTACATGTAGTATTTTGCTAACCGCATGCCATATGCACATTTGTGCCCAAATGGGATGCCAAAAGAGTATTTAGCTTGGTGTCTTACTTGACAAGGATGCATTGAATCTTTTCCTTTCTCATGCTATTGAAATTGGTCAAGATTGTCCTGAAGATTCAAAGAAAGTGGCAATAGATATTGTGATTGCGTGTGGAAGATTACCTATTATAATTGTTGCAGTGGTGAGAACTCTAAGAGATTGGGCTCCAAAAGAATGGCATCATGCTTTAATAGCATTGAAAAGTACTAACCATTAAGGCATGAGACTATTGATAAAGATGCGATGGAGTTTTATAATTCTTTGAAGTTAAGCTACACTTATTTAAAATATGAAGAAGCCCAAGTTCTCTTCTTATTGTGCGCTATATTTCCAAAAGCTTATGAAATATCAATAGAGCTTTTATGCAAAATCACTATAGGTTTAGGGCTTTTCGGAGAACTTGACAACTATTATGCAACAAGAAGTCAAGTGCATGTGACTAAAAACAAACTCATAAATTCTTCTTTACTGTTGAAGGCTGGTGAAGAATGTGTAAAGATGCGTGATGTAATTCAGAAAGTGGCCATGGAGATAGCAAACAAAGAGATTGAAGTGATTGAGGATTCTAAGAAAAAATTGAGGGAGAATATGAAATATTCATCTTGGATCATAGATGACTTTTCGAATTGTTTTGATGGAGGCAAACTTGAGGTTCTCTTAATATGGATCAATGAAATTGGTTCTGTTCTTTGAAAGTTCCAAGTGAATTCTTTAGAAGTATGAAGAGTCTCAAGGTGTTGCTTTTGTTTTCTAAGATTGAGTTTGGGAGAACTTTAGCTTTGTCATTACCAAAATCAATTCAGTCACTAGAAAATATCAAAACTCTGTCCTTTACCAATTGGGAATTAGGTGATATATCTGTGCTGGAAAACTTACAAATGCTTGAGACTCTAGAATTGGTTAATTGTTTAATAATTGAATTACCTAATGGAGTTAGTGAGCTTAAAACATTGAGATATTTAGGCTTGGTACATTGCTCGATTGGAATGAATAATCCATTTGAAGTGATTACAAGATGCTCACAACTAGAAGAATTGTATTATGTTTTGAATGAGGATCATATGCTCGAGGATGAAGAGGTTTCTTAAATTACATCCCT